TTATCTCTACTAAAAATACAAAAAGTAGCCAGGCATGGTGGTGCATGCCTGTAATCCCAGCTACTAGGGAGGCTGAGGCAGGAGAATTGCTTGAACCTGGGAGGCAGAGCTTGCAGTGAGCTGAGATTATGCCACTGCACTCCAGTCTAGGTGACAGAGTGGGACTCCATCTCAAAATAAATAAAGCGAAGCATAGAAAGCCAACTCCTCAGGACAGTGCCTTGTATATAAGAAATAAGCAGAAATGTTCATTACTATTTATAAACTAATGAGATTTTTGATGAATGAAGGAAGGAAATAAGTAGGGCAATGTGATGTTAAGTGGAAGAGATCTCCTGGAGAAAGGGAGATCAGGAAAGGCTGTCTAAAGAAATAGATTGGAGCTAAGACCTATAAGATGAGAAGAAACTTAGTTTTGCCAAGAGCCAGTGAAGCCCCTTCCAGGTAGATGGCAAGTGGAAAGGCCCTGAGGCAGAGAAGAGCTCAGAGAGTGGAAGGAACAGCAAGGAGACTAGTGTGGCTGGGATGTAATGAGAGGGAGAGAGTAGCTCAAGATGGGGCATGGGCCTAGCGCAGTGGCTCACGTCTATAATCCCAGCACTTTGGTGTGGTTCAAGATGGCCAGGGGAGATCTATGTTAATTCTAGCTAAGTAATTATAAGCTTGCTTGGCTCAGAGTACACTGAAGTTTATACACCAAACTAAACTATATTATTGGTGCTGTTAATTAAAAATCAAGCAGCAATGGGAGGTCTAAGGTAAACAGCATCAGAGAGCGCAGTAACACTGGGGAGCACCTCGGGGTGGTTGCAGAGTAGGCAACACTGCTCTGGATCAATGAGATTATGCACATAATAAAAGTGTTTGGAGCCCAGAGCTCAGGGCCAACATGGTCCTCAAGCTTGCATTAGTCCCCTGGATCCATGCTGTAACTTCTACTCTTGTGTCTCTGTCTTTATTTCCTTTTCTCAATCCCTTGTCACCACCGGGACTAAGGGTACCCACATACAGGGTTGGGGTTGGTACCCGACACTTTGGGAGGCCAAGGCAGGCAGATCACCTGAGGTCAGGAGTTCAAGACCAGCCTGGCCAACATGGCAAAACTCCGTCTCTACTAAAAGTACAAAAATTAGCCGGGTATGGTGGCGGGTGCCTGTAATCCCAGCTACTCAGGAGGCTGAGGCAGGAGAATGCCTTGAACCCAGGAGGCAGAGGTTGCAGTGAGCTGAGATCATGCCATTGCACTGCAGCTTGGGGGACAAGAGTGAGACTTCGTCAAATAAATAAATAAATAAATAAATAGATAAATAAAAACGGGGCATGAAGCTGGGGGCAGTGGCTCATGCCTGAAGTCCTAGCACTTTGGGAGGCCAGGGCAGGCCGAGGCGTGTCAGGGCAGGTGGGGGCAGGTGGATGGCTTGAACCCAGTTCAAGACCAGCCTGAGCAACACTGCAAAACCCCATCTCTATAAAAATACAAAACTTAGCTGGGCATGGTGGCGTGTGTCTGCAGTCCCAACTACTTGGGAGGCTGAGGCAGGAGGATCACCTGAGCCCAGGGAGGTAGAGGCTGTTGTGAGCCACGATCACGCCACTGTGCTGCAGCCAGGATGACTCTGCAGTGAGACCCTGTCTCAAACAAAAACAAAAACAAAAAAACAAAGACGAGGCACAAGGGACACAAAGGGCAGGTCATGGAGGGTAGTAGTCATGGAAAGGAGTTTAATTTTCTTCTAAGTGTGATGAAAAGCCATAGGAGGCTTAAACAGGAGAGTTACAAGATCTGACTTTTGATTAAAAGTTCATTCTGGCTTCTGTAGGGAAAATGGATTAGAAAGGGGGAGCAGTAGAAACCAGAACAACAACAATTAAGGGGCTATGAGAGTCATCCAAATGAAAGACGTTGCTAGTTTGGACTTGGATACAGATCAGCGCTGTCAACAGGACTTCCTGGGATGGTGGGAATGTTCTCCACCTGTGCTCATATGGTGGCCACTGGCTCCTAGCTCCCTGTGGCTCTTGAGCACTTGGAATGAGGGCAGTGTGGCTGAAGAATTGAATGTTTAATTTTACATCATTCTAATGAATTACAATTTAAATAGCCACATATAGATAGTGGCTACTGTAATGGGGGGTACAGGGAATTGGCTGTATTTGAAATATATTTAGGAGGCAGATAAGAATTGGGATGGTTGGGGTATGGGGAATGAGAGAATGGAGAATCAAGGAAGATCAAGGATTACTTGGTGTATTAGTCCATTTTCACGCCACTGATAAAGACATACCCAAGACTGGGAAGAAAAAGAGGTTTAATAGCACTTACAGTTCCACATGGCTGGGGAGGCCTCAGAATCATGGCAGGAGGCAAAAGGCACTTCTTATATGGCAGCAGCGAGAGAGAATGAGGAGGATGGTAAAGTGGAAACCCCTGATAAAACCATCAGCTCTCGTTAGACTTATTCACTACCATGAGAACAGTATGGGGGAACCGCCAGCATGATTCAAAGTATCTCCAATCAGGTCCTTCCCACAACATGTCAGAATTATGGGAGTGCAATTCAAGATGAGATTTGGGTGGGGACACAGAGCCAAACCATATCACTTGGGAAACTGGTGGAGGATACTGCCATTTACCAAAGGGGAAAAGCAGGCTCTGGGGCGATATCAAGAGTTTTGTTTTGCACAAAAGGAGTTTCAGATACTGTTGGAACATTCAAGTAGAGCTATCAAATAGAAAGCAGGATGTATACGTTTGTCATCATCCTCATCTTTAGGTTCCAGGAATACCTACGTTTGGCTGCTTAGGCGATGGGAAGCCCAGAAAGACCAGGAGCCTCTCCTACCCCTTAACTTGGCTAATGTGTCAACCACCCACCTACCCACTAGCCCTAGTGTCTGAAACATGTATGACGCATGGCTCCTCCTTCCCCTCCTCCCTCTTCTCTCAGGTATTAAGCCCCCTGGCTTCTTCCCTTAAAATGCTGGAAACACTCACTTCACCAGTTTTCCATTCATGTAGCAGCGCTCCTGGCTCAGGCCCTTGTCGTCTCATTGTGGACTAGAGCCCCTGAACTTCTCACCACCTCTCCTATCCACCTTCCACCAGAGAGGTCTTTCTGACTGCAGGTTTCCTCCTGGGAATCACGTCTGGGTCTGCATCAAGCAGAGTCCCAACCCTTTGATCTTCTTTACATTTCCAGAATTGTATCCAAAGGAACTCAAGGCAGGGTGTGGTGGCTTACGCCTGTAATCCCAGCACTTTGGGAGGCCAAGGGGAGGCAGATCACCTGAGGTCAGGAGGTCAAGACCAGACTGGACAACATAGTGAAACCCCTTTCATACTAAAAACACAACAATTGGCTGGCTATGGTAGTGAACGCCTGTAGTTCCAGCTACTCAGGAGGCTGAAGCAGAAGAATCATTTGAACCCAGAAGTTGGAGGTTGCAGTGAGCCAAGATGGCACCACTGCACTCCAGCCTGGGTGACAGAGGGAGACCCTGTCTCAAAAAATAAAAATAAATAAAAAATAAAAATACAAACAAAGGAACTTAGAAATCTACCCAAAACTTGCAAATTCACAAGAATGTTCATCACAGCATTAATTCTAAAAGCTGGAAGTGTAATTTCCAACCTTATCTTAATTGACATATCAGCAGCATTTGACAGTTAATAAATTCCCCTTGAAACACTTCCTTCACCTCCTTCCAGGAGACCACACTCTCCCGGTTGTTCTCCTACCACTCTGGTCACTTCTCAGTCTCCTTTGCTGCTTCCTTCTTATCCCCTGACCTGTAAACGTTACCCAGGGCTCAGGCCTCAGGCCTTGTCCCTCTCTTGGTTCTCTCATGCAGCCTCAAGGTTTTAAAGTCATCTATATGCTGATGATTCACAAAGGTTCATCTCCAGTTCAGACCTGCCCCTGAATGCCAGACTCATAAATCCAACGGTCTGTTTGACATTTCCATTTGAATGTCAAACAGGCATCTCAAACTTAACACATCTAAAAGTCAGCTCCTGGTGTTCTCCCCAAAGTTTGCTCCTCCCTTGGTTTCTTCCATCTCAGTTAGGGCAGCTGCCTTTTCATTTGCTCAAGCCAAAAACTGTGGAGTCATCTTTGAGTTCTCGCATTCATACTTCACATCTGGTCCATCAGCAAATCCTGTAGGCTTGACCTTATGTCAACCCCTGAATTCAACCACTTTTTGCTCCCTTTGCTGTCATCGTCCTGGTATAAGCCCCTATCATACCTCACCTGCTTGACTCCAAGAGTCAATTATCAGGTCTCCCTACTTCTGCCCCGCACTTCAGCTCTCCTCCGCACTGCAGTTCAACGCCCTCTCACGGTCCCATTCTCTCCCCTCTTCCCCAGCCTCTTTGCTGTTCCTGGAACAGGCCCCGCCCACATGCTTTGGCTTTGTGGCCTGTGCATAACTGTTCCTCTACTGACACCTCCAAGCATGGCTCATCCCCTCGCCTTCTTCGGGTCTCCAGAGTCACCCGGCCATGCTGTAAAGCATTCCACACCCACGCTTCATATTCCTCTTTCTTGCTTTTCTTGCTTTTTATTTTTCCAAAGCACTTTTGCTATTTGCCTTTTTATGCATTTTAAGGATTCTGTTTATTGTTGTTTCTCTTACTAGAATATAAATTTCAAGAGAGCAGAAATTTTCCTCTTTTTTTTTTTTCTTTACTGCTGCACTCCCCTGTGCTTAAGGGCACATAGTAGGTGCTCAGTAAATAAGTGGTAAATGAGTGAATAAATGAAAGATTGGAGTCTTCTTATGCGGCAGTGGAGGAGGAGGGAAATCGAGAAGTACAAAGTAGGTGTGTTCAGAGAATTCTGAGGCCAGTAGCAATTACCGTTGCAAAGAGCAAGTCAGCAGGGCATCCAAACCCCATGTGACCACACCCCATTCCCTACCCCCACCCCAACCCCGGAACATTGCAGTCCCGGAACTGTCGCTCGCGGGCCACCCCCCCGACCCGCGCTAGAGCACTTCCGGTGCCGCGCCTCTCAAGTTCGCGCAGAGAACTGCCAAGTCAGTTCCGGTCCGGCAGAGAACGCAGAGAGACGCAGAGCGCCGCGAGCTCCCCCTGGGCCCTCCAGGCCCTCCGGCCCCGGGCTGGCGGGTGAGCTGGGGGGCCCCGGGACAGGCTGTGCCCTCTGCCCTTCAGACACCGGAGGCCTCCGCTGTGGCTGCCCACTGGCCTGGCCAGGGTCAGGCCTTGAAGCCGTGGTGAACCTCTCTACCCCACCCCACTTCGGTGATTGATGGCGGCGGCGGCTTCTCCCAGCCAGTACCCCAGCCTGGACCCTGCTGGCCACTGGGTCTCCCGGCCCAAGTGTGCCAGGTCTCGACAGAGCCCCAGCTGAGCGGCCCGGATGCAACGCCTTTGGGTGGCGGCGGGAGGGGTGGACCAGGAAACATGGCGGCCACTCGAATGCTGCGCAGCGGAGACCGTTAGGTCATAGAGGGCCTGGGAAGGCGGCCTAAGGACGCAGGCAGGCTCGACTGCCTTTTTAGGCCACGGAGCCATGCAGATCCGGGTCCCCAGTGACCACTCCGTCCCCATTGGGCGAGACCTACCTAGTCCTGACGACAACGGACAAAGGCCTTAACAGGCCTGGGAGGTGAGCGAAGTTCCGAACGACGACGGGTGGAACGGTTAACGGTCATCGGGCTGTTAGTCTTCATTCTACCAGACCTTGCTGTCGGAAGAGAGAAACGGTAGAATGACAGGCGACGTTTGGCCCGTTGGAAATGCCCACCACCCTCTGGGAAGATTTACTGGCCGTTTATGGAAGGCCTGTGTATATAATATGAAAAAGCTGCTCTCAACTCCACCCCAACCTTTTAATAGAAAACATTTGTCACATCTAGCTCTTCTAGATGTAAAGAGGTTGCCGACGTATGATAAAGTAGAGTTAGAAAACCACACATCTTGTAAATTCTCATTTGTTTAAGAGAAATCATAGAAAATACATGTCTTCTGGAGATGACTTTTGGAAATGGAGTTGTTAGATGGCCTCTGGAAGTGATACATCCATGTTTGTTCAGTGGGTTAGATGACGTGGAGCTGGAAGACCTGAAAAGGAGGAGAAGGAGGCTCTATGCTAGACTGGTCATATTTAGAAGACATTTTCATATTCTAGCCATTGTTTTGTGTGCATTTTATTCTTCACTACTGTATATATAGTTGACAATGCTAAACTTTTTTGAAACGTCCGTTTTTAGATGTTCTGAAGTGCCTGATGTTAAAATTAGAGGACGTAAAATCGGATTTTGTAAATATCTTTTTGTTACAATTTGTAGGAAATGTTTTTTGCGGGGAATGGCCAAATCACCTGTTGAGTAATACTCAGTGTGTGTGCAGTGGTTCAGGGGAGGAGGGAGGAAGGGGAGGTGCAGAGAGTTCTATGCCACCCTGCTTACAGCAAGGCAAGATGAATTATTATCTCTGTGTATTTTGTTTTATTTACCTGTGCATATAGTGTACATAAAGGACAAATGAGTCCCAACTTTAACAACATCTGGTCTTTCTAGATGTTAAAGAGGTTGCCAGTGTATGACAGAAGTAGAGTTAGTAACTTGTACATTTTGTACATGTTTTGTACATTTTGTTTTACAAGTCTAGGAAAGATTGTCTTCTGAAAATTTGAGCATTCTTGCCCACTGGGTTGATGGAGATGGGAAGGGTTCTAGGCCAGAATGTTCACATTTGGAAGGCTCTTTCAAATTATAACTGTTATTACATGTTTGCAGTTTACTCAAGACTGCTGTGTCATAGTGGACAAATTAACTCCTTACTTGAAACATCTAGTGCCCGATGTATGTTAAATGTAGAGGTAGTAAAATACCACTTTGTAAATATCTTTTTACTAAAATTCATAGGAAATACTTTTGGAAATTGAATTGTGAAGCCACCTTTGTGAGCAGTATAGTACTGTCTATACTCGTTCAATGGTTTAGAGGAGGTGGGAGGGAAGAAATTGCAAACGGTAATATTCTAGTGTGTTCAACACTTGGACATTTCAGACACTTTTTCTGTAGGTTTTGTGCATTTTCTTTTGCTCTGTAAATATTCTAGTGTGTCACGCTTGGACATTTCAGACACTGTTTTTCTGTAGGTTTTGTGCATTTTCTTTTGCTCTGTATATAGTGTATATAATGGACAATGAGTCCTAATTTTTCAACATCTAGACTCTAGATGTTAAAGAGGTTGCCAGTGTATGACAAAATATTTAGTAAAATCAGTATATTTTGTACCCTTTGTGATAAAATTCATAGGAAAACTTGTCTTCGGTAAACGACTTTTGCATTGGAATTTGTTCAGTCATCTCTAAGCATTACACGTGCCTGTACTTGTCCACTGGATTGAAGGCAGAGAAGAAAGAGAGGAGGGGATGATTCAAGGCCAAAATGGTCATATTTAGAAGATACCTCAGATGATAACCATTGTTATGTGTGTGCAATTTTAGTTAACAGTGCTGTGTACATGGTGGACAAGTTATATGAAATATCTAGTCTTTCTAGATCTTTGGAAGTGCTTGGTGTATTTAAAAGTAGTAGTAGAATAACACTTTTTGTAAATAGCTTTTAAAAAGTGATGGGAAATGCTGTTGGGAAGTGGAATTGTGGAACCACCTGGCAGGTGGGAGAGAAGAAGTTACAAAACGTGTTTTGCCATTGTTTATTAGAAAATTTCAGCTTAATCCATTGCCTATATGTTACATGCATTTCATTTAACTTTGCTATACTGTATATATTATGTATACACTGGACAAATGAGTCCCAATTTTATAATATCTAGTCTCTAGATATTAAAGAGGTTGCCAATGTATGACAGAAGTAGAGTTAGTAAACTAACACATCCTGTACACTTTGTTAAAATTCATAGAAAGGCTGTCTTCTGAGAAAGACTTTCGGAAGTGAAGTAACATCAGCTCTAAGTGACACATGTGCCTGTATCCACCAGGTTGGTGGTGGTGAAGAGTTGGAAGAGTTCTAGACCAGAATGTTCCTATTTAGAAGACACTTTCATATATAACCATTGTTACATGTGTGTAGTTTATTCAACACTACTGTGTATATAGTGGACAAACTTAAGTCCTAATTTGAAACATCTAGTCTTTCTAGATGTTTAGAAGTGCACAAAGTATGTTAAAAGTAGAGGTAGTAAATAACAAACACATTTTGTAGCTGTCTTTTTGATAATATCATCTTTTGGAAATTGATCTATTCTCTGAGCAGTACATTATGATATCTGTGCAGGTTCAGGGAGAAGGAGGAGCATAAAGAACTTTCCACCAGTGTGTTCATGATGAGGCACATTGATCATTGTCCCTTATGTCTGCATTTTCATTAACTGTGCTGTGTATATAGTGTATATAAGCAGACATAAGAGTCCTAATTTACATCTAGTCAATGTTAAAGAGGTTGCCGTTGTATGACAGAAGTAGAGTTAGTAAATTCAATACATTGAGTATATCTTGTGTTAAAAATCATAGGGAAGACTTCTTAAAAACAGAAGTGAAATTGTTAAAATCCCCCCTAAGCTGTCCATGGAGTTGGTAGAGGTCAGAAAGGGAGGTAGGTTCTAGGCCAGAATGTTCCTATTTAGAGGACACTCAAATTACAGTCTGTGTTATGTATACATTTATTCAATGCTACCGTGTACATAATGGAAAACTTCAATTGGAAATATCTAGTCTTTCTAGGTGTTTAAAAGTGCACAACATAGGTTAAAAGTATAGCGTTAAAGTAACACCCCTCTAAGCATTTGTTTTCATTACTTCCTTAGGAGTGGTTGGTTGCATTTGGGAATGGAATTGTTAAAATTTGATGCTTAGGAGCCTATGCTGACTATTCATTGGTGATGGGTAGGGGAGGAAGAGATATGCAGGGAGAAGTGTTCTGTGCCCCTGAGATTAGTTCAGCTGGTCTAACCATTGTTCTCTGTGTGCATTTTACTTAATATTATGTATTAAAGGATAAACAAGTCAATGCTCAAGAGTATGTTAAAAATACATATAGTAAATCAGTCCCTTTATGAATGTCTTTTTGTTAGTTTTTAAGAAGGCCTGTCTTCTGGGAGTGACCTTTATTATTAGTCCACCTCTTGGAGCCAGACATCCTATACTTAGTCACTGGGGATGGTGGAAGAGGGAGAAGACAGGGTGAAGGGAAGGGCTCTTTACTAGTATCTCCATATCTAGAAGATGGTTTTAGATGATAACCACAGGTCTATGTAAGTGTTTTTAGTAAAGTGTCTGTGTTTATTGTGGACAAAGTTCATTATTTTGCAACATGTAAGCTTTATGAATGTCTGGGGTGACAACATAGAGTTAGTGAATTAGCCAATTTGTAAATACCTTTGTTGTAATTGATAGAAAAGATGCATCTTGGACATGGAATTGTAAACCACCTCTGAGCAGTATATGTCAGGACTTGTTCATTAGTTGGCAGCAGAGGGGCAGAAGGAACTCTAAAGGGAGAGATGTATGCAGATGTGTCCATATTTACATTTTGATGCTAGCCATTAATGTATGCGTCTCTTGTGGCTGTACTATAGGAATATATTAAATAATTCAATGGAAATATACCTTACTAATATTTTAATAGCATAGATCTGCTAATGAGCTCTCTTAGAAGCGTTATACTTAGTGTATTCTGTTGCTGTATGCTTCATTTTAAATTGAGCATTAAGGGAATGCAGGATTTAAATCGGAACTCTGCCAATGCTTTTATCTAGAGGCGTGTTGCCATTTTTGTCTTTATGAAATTTTTATCCCAAGAAAGACAGGATTACATTTTTTTTTTTTAACAGACTGAGTTGGTGTAGTGTATTTTTGGTTATCAAAATGCTCATATAGCTTTGGGATTTTGAATTGGTAAATATTCATGATGTGTGAAAAATCATGATACATACTATACAATCTCAGTCCCATAAAATTGGATGTTGTGCTTGTAGATGCACAGGACCTAGAAGAATGTGTGAAACTATAAACTGCTTGTGATTGTGACTTTGTTATTTGCTTCTCGTGTTTTTCAGTTTCCTCTTATGTACTTTTTAAAAGTAAAAGTTATTTTAAAAACATGTATTAAGCCCTCGTTGCTTGTAGAATAAAGTTAGTATACTCCACAGAAGCACAGTGTTCATGCTCCTTCATGCCTGAGGTATCTGGAATTTCACGCCTTTGACTCCTCTCTCCATTGCCTAGGTATTAGCCACTCCACCCAGGTGCTCTGCTGTTCAGGATAAGCTTGCACTTTGGTGGTTTGCTCAAGCCATTCCTTCTGCCTATAATGCCCTTTCCACAATTTTCACTTGGCAAAATCATTCTAAAGAGCCCAAATCAAATTCCAATATCGCCACAAAGTCTTACCGATAAGAACCTGACACTCCAGTGTAAAGAGCCAGAAACTTAATGTTAGAATATAACAGCTGTTTTGTTGTTTGTTTTTGAGATGGAGTCTCACTCTGTCTCTCAGTCTCACTCAGGCTAAGTGCAGAGGCACCATCTCCGTTCACTGCAGCCTCTGCCTAAAGTAGCTGGGATTACAGGCATGCGCCACCACACCTGGCTAATTTTTTGTATTTTTAGTAGAGACAGTGTTTCACCATGTTGGCTAGGCTAGTCTCGAACTCCTGACCTCAAATGATCTGCTTGCCTTGGCCTCCCAAAGTCTGGGATTACAGGTGTGAGCCACCGTGCCTGGCTGTTACAGCCATTCTCTTACTGCTCCTACTTGTTCCTCTTCTATATGGACGGAGCCCACTTGCATCATAATTGTTACCTGAAAGCCTACTTGGATTGAGCTAAGGTTTAAATAATTTCTGCGACCACAGGCTGCAATATAATGCCTGACACACAGCAGGTGCTTAGGAAATGTCTCTTGAATACAACAGATGAAAGCTCAGTCTTTCAGACTGCTGCTTGGTGTGACATCGCTGTTAAGGACACTGATGGAATAGTCAAGGATTTCCAAGTTGGCAATTTCTATCGTGGCTGACCAAACCAGAGGGTATCTGTTAGAGGCAGCACAAGCTATCCCCAAATCAGGCACAGGAAACATCTCTAATGGCATACAGAGAATATGACTACAAAGAGGTTCTTATTCTCATCTTTGATGTGATGCTGAGACACTGGCCTCCAGGTGGAAAGGTAGTGTCTCTATTTCCCTAGGTGCTGATGGTGTAACCTGGGTGGGTTGGGAACTTGAGGGCAGGTAGATGAGGCCTTTCCAGTTGCCTTCCCAATCCAGTATCAGGCCTGGACCCAATCTTCTCTCCTGTTGATGCTCCTCTACAAGACAGGTCTTAGCTGACCAAGGTGGGCTTCAGGGAAGCACATATCCCTTGAATCTCTGGCCTGGAGGGAACAAACCATGTGTCCCCCCAGGTCCATGTACTTCGACCAGTCATTTCAGGCTGGGATTGGTTTGTAAGCTCTAAATCCACCAGAGCTTGAGATAAAAAAGCTGAAGCAGGACCTCTATCTGTAATTTAAGGTAGATTCACCCATAAAAGTCCAGGAAGGTAAGGCTCATAAACAGCCAAGAGCTAAGGTCAGCTCTCAGGTAGTTCTGAACCCCCAGGGCAAAGATAACCCTCAGTGGCCACACGAGGAAAGTGAGGTCCAGAGAGGGTTCATTTACTTAGCATGTTGTCCTCAAGTTTCATCTATGTTGTAGCATGTGTCAATTTCCTTTTTAAGGTTAAACAGGATGTAAAGAAATTGGGACCCTTACGCTAGGAGCAGACCTCAAGCTATGTGTATTGCCAGGAAGAGAGCACTGGAGGCCAGGGGCCTCAGCTTGTGTCTAAGCTCTGTCACTGGCTAGGGACTGGCCAATTGACAACATCTAGGCCTCAGTTTCCTTAGTAAAATGAATGGTGTGTTCTGCCTCTTCAGATCAGATGCTGGCCCTTTCAAAAGCCATGAGTTTCATCAGGGATAAAGCCAGAGCCAGAAGCTTCTAAACACCATTCTCTACTAAAAGGAACCATGGACCTTGGAGAAGTGGCTAATTCCAGGGCTGCAGCAAAGAAAGTCCAAGACCATCTTGGAATATCTTGTTATGGCAGGAATCAAAGTGCTCCAAGAATGATGGGGACATATCAAAAGGACACAGAAACCAGCTTGAAGTGGCTTCCATTGGCCAAATCTGTCACAATTTGAGTATCAAAATGTAGAATGACTTGTAGGATGCAGATAACACATTGAATAAAACAGGAAGCCATGAGTCCAATTCTGATAGAAATAAAGAAATGGCCTGTATTCCCAGCCATCCTGGAGGCTTTGGTGGAAGGATCACTTGAATCCAGGAGGTCGAAACTGCAGTGAACCATGATCATGTCACTGTACTTCAACCTGGGCAACAGAGACTCTTTATTTTATTGTTTTTTTTTTTTTTTTTTTTTTTGGAGACAGAGTCTTGTTCTGTCGCCAGGCGGGAACACAGTGTCACAATCTCGGCTCACTGCAACCTCCACCTGCCGGGTTTCACTGCAACCTCCGCCTGCCGGGTTCAAGCAATTCTCCTGCCTCAGCCTCCCGAGTAGCTGGGACTACAGGTGCGTAGCACCACACCCAGCTGATTTTTGTATTTTTTTTTAGTAGAGATGGGGTTTCACCATGTTGGCCAGGATGGTCTCGATCTCTTGACCTCGTGATCCGCCCACCTCAGCCTCCCAAAGTGCTGGAATTACAGCCACCACACCCGGCCAACAGAGACCCTTTCTACAAAACAAAAATCAGTCTGGGCACAGTGGCTCAGACCTCTAATCCCAATACTTTGGGAGGCCGAGGCAGGAGAATCACTTGAGGTCAGGAGTTCATGACTAGCCTGGCCAACATGGTGAAACCCAATCTCTACCAAAAAATACAAAAATTAGCTGGGTGTAGTGGTGGGCACCTGTAATCTCAGCTTACTAGGGAGGCTGAGGCATGAGAATTGCTTGAATCCAGGAGGTGGAGGTTGCAGAGGGCTGAGATCCCACCACTGCACTCCAGCCTGGGCAACAGAGGGAGAACCTGTCCCAAATGAAAAGAAAAAGAAAACAAAAGAAAGGAAAAAGGAAAACAAAAATCAAGAAATCAAAAAGTAAGTGTTGGCAAGAACGTGAAGAAATTGGGACCCGTATGCACTATTACTGGAATTGTAAAATGATGCAACTGCAGTGAAAAACAGTATGACAGTTCCTAAAAAAAATTAAAAATGGAACTACCATATGATCCAGCAATGCCACTTTTGAGTCATCCCTTGGTATACATGGGGGATTGGCTCCAGGACCCTCAGCATACCCAAATTGGTACATACTCAAGTCCCGCTGCAGAACCTGTATATATGAAAAGTTGACCTTCCCTCTCTGCGGTTTGGCATCCCATCACTGCATCTGATTGAAAAAGAGACCCATATAAGTGGGCCCACATTGTTCAAACTCATGTTGTTCAAGGGTCAGCTGTGTATCCAAAAGGAAAGCAGGGTCCAACAGAGATACAGCACACAAGTTGCTTAACCCTTGGAACTTTTTTTTGTTTGTTTTGTTTTGAGACAGTCTCACACTGCCACCCGGGCTGGGGCGCAATAGCACAATCTCGGCTCATTGCAATCTCCACCTCCCAGGTTCAATTGATTCTCCTGTCTCAGCCTCCTGAGTAGCTGGGGTTACAGGCACCCACCATCATGCCTGGCTAACTTTCATTTTTTAGTAGAGATGGGGTTTCACCATGTTGAGCCATCAGAGAGCTCAAAGCCAGTTGTTTTGTTTTGTTTTGTTGTTTTTTTCTTTTCTTTTTTTTTTTTTGAGACGGAGTTTCACTCTTGTTACCCAGGCTAGAGTGCAATGGCACAATCTCTGCTCACCGCAACCACCGCCTCCTGGGTTCAGGCAATTCTCCTGCCTCAACCTCCGAGTAGCTGGGATTACAGGCACGCGCCACCATGCCCAGCTAATGTTTTGTATTTTTAGTAGAGACGGGGTTTCACCATGTTGACCAGGGTGGTCTCGATCTCTTGACCTCGTGATCCACCCGCCTCGGCCTCCCAAAGTGCTGGGATTACAGGCTTGAGCCACCGCGCCCAGCTTGTTTTGTTTTTTTAACAGGCTTTATTTTCTATAGCAGTTTTAGGTTCACAGCAAAACTGAGTGGAAAGTACAGGGATTTCTCATATGCCCCCTGTTCCCAACACATGCACAGCCCCCTGATTATCAATGTGCCCAACCAGAATGATACATTTGTTACAATTGAGGAACCAATCCTGATGCATTCTTATCACCCAAGGTCAGAGTTCACATCAGTGCTCACCCTGGGCAGTTCACATTCTATGGATCTGGACAAATATATGCTGACATAGGTCCACCATTATAGTATTATAGGGTGTAGTTCACTGCTGTAAAAATCATCTATGCTATATCCATTCATCCCTTCTTCTCCTCAACTCTTGGCAACAACCGATCTTGAAAAAATCTCCATAATTTTTGTCTTTCCATAGTGTCATATAACTGGACATACATAGAGTTTGTAGCCTTTTCAAATCGGCTTCTTTCACTTAGTAATGTAAGGCCGGTTGCCTCAGCAGGAGCTTGGACACACCCATCCCTCTCCACGCCTGAAAATTACATCACCAGAATCTGCACTCAGCATCTAGCTTCGCCACGCCCACCTCTGCACTCAACACTAAACTCTGCACTCGGGCACCTAGCCCGTTGGAAATCCACTCTGCACTCAGCACCAGAATCTGCACTCGGCACCTAGCCAGCCGTTGGAAAACCCTGCCAAAATTTAAAAGAAGCCCAGCCAAAACCTGCCCAATAGCGCATTGCCCCATCCAGCCCGCGCACCAGAAATCCTGCTTACCTACCTATAGCAGCTTGCTATGTCCACATCCTGTTTCTCCACAGCCAATCAGAGCGCCTTCCCTCCCTATATAACTCCACGCCTGAGAGGAGTCAGGCGCGACTTCTCTGGCCCTTTCCCTGGACCATAGAACCTCGCCGGGAGCCAAATAAATTGGCGTCTAATTCTCATGCAGGCATCACTTTCCTCATTTTAAACTCAGCAATAAACCTTACAGAGAATAAACCTTACAAGTAATATGCATTTAAGGTTCCTCTATGTCTTTTCATGGCTTGATAACTC